AACTATGTTATATTAGTAAGGTTTTTCCAAACAGGATTATATTAAAATTTTATTTATTATTTATAGAAAATATTAGTAGATTAATTAAATATTTTAAAACATTAAGAAGTAGGATATATGTATAACTTCCCCTTAAAACATAAAATCCAAACATACTCCCACTCTTGGGAGTAAACCCTGGGAAAATCTCGATCCTAGCTCCCAATTTCCCGAGCCTGCACTTCCTGCTCTCTCTCTCTCTCAGTTCAAGGACACCTGTTTCCACTTTCCACGCCAAATGATCCTTGGCATGCAACATCCGTCTTGCAGAGAGGCAGGTAGCTATATTGCCGCTGTGATAACCTTGCAGCGATTGCAGATGGTGGTGATGTTTTTTGTTGTCCATAATGGTGGTGGTGCCTCGAATATCCTTCCTTGGTCACCTTGGGCGGCGCATTCACGAAATGTGTATCCCTGACACGCACACATACACACATTTAAACTCACACGGGGGTATCCATGGGACACACACATACGGGGTCCGTTGTGGATTAAAATTTCTTCGTTCCTTCTACTGTGTTTTTTTTTTCTTTTTTTCATATAAACTGAATGCATTTCCCTTGACGAAGAAGGGAGCGGAGAAAAGCGAGGAGGGGGCATTTATTTTCGGCATTTGAAGTTAGTCCTTTGAAAAAACGGGGGTTCAAATTCAAAGCGCTAGACCGAACGAATCGCAGCGAAAGGGACTGGAAACGTGCGAAGGGTTGCTCGGCGGCGGCCGCTCCGCTTGTACATATCCTGGGTGTATAAGCGAGTGTGCCTGTGAGTGTAAGTGAGTGTGCAGTCGAAAAAACTGGGTTGACATTTTAAAACTGCTTTGTAGTTTTCTTCGAAATGGAAAGCGTATGCCACTAACATATATGACAAAGGTTTAAAATAGTCTTTTAAAAGTGTGCTTCGTAGGTACACTTTTCCGAGTGTATTTGAAAAGGAATACATTTGGATTCCAGACTGGCGTTGAGTCTCAAACTCCCTGTGCGACATTACTGCCGCAGCAACGTCGCAAAGTGTAAGCAGCAGCAGCAGCAAAAGCAACCAAAGCACGGCAGCAACATCAGCGACAGCCCAGCAGCAACATCGAATCGATTTCGGAATTCGTCTCATGGCGAGTGTGTGGAAAATGCTGATAAATGGGACTAAGGCTTTGGATACGAAGTACAGGATCTCCTAGTACGTTTTCACTGCCATGGCCATGCTAATGAGACCCCCACAAGAAGGTCTGAAGGCACATGGAAAAAAATATAGTAAAGATATGATATAAACGTGACTTTAGTTAAACATTACTTTTAAAGAAGCTTAAAAAATATATTTTAAAGATAACTTTAATTAACTATTTAATGCATAAATTTAAATAGATAATCAGTATGTTTTAAGTTTATTTTCTCCATGCTGCTGATGCAGCAGAGTGCAATTGCAACTCCCCTGGATATCGTAGCTAGTACCACCCGCCCGGCTCTGCCTTACTCACTCCTCCCGTCGTGACCGATAAGTCATAAGGCCCGCTCTCGTTCCCGTGCCTTGTTCGGTGGGTGGTTGCCTGTTGGGGGTGGCTCCGTTTGTTTGCCCACGTCGACGCATTGATAAGATAGCAGCAGCAATAGGCTGTGTACAAGGCTGAGCTGACAAGGCAGCCGGCCGATGGACCTGAGTGTTGCATGGAACCCGAAAACCATGGGAGCAGAGACCCCCGTAGCCCCATCACAGTATCACTTTTTGTTGTTTGTTTTTGTTGTTTTTGTCGTGACTCGACGATATCTTACGGCTGCGTTTCAGAAAATTCAAAATTCATAGAATGCAAATGTTGGTTAAACAACATTTTGCCCGGCACACGACCGCGCTCTCCCACTACCCACTTCCCAGTTTTCAGTTTTCAATTCTCAGTTCCCAGTTCCAGTCGCATTTTCAGTTTCCAGTCGCCCAGCTGAGGCACAAACAACAGAAATAGAAACAGAAACTGAGACCACACCGATTCAGGTCTCTTGGCTAGAAAAGGTATGGGGCAAGGGGGAGGAGCCAGAGCTTAAGTCAGGTTTTGTGAGTTGAATCTTAAGTAAGACCAACTTAAACGCTCCCCTCCCAGTCCAGGTTATAGCTTTAGAAATACCCAACTTACTAGTGGGGTTTACATTGTCCCAAGTATGAAGGGAAAATCCAGACTAGAGATATTTTCATTCAATAATTGAGGAAAGTTTTTTTCATTACATCGATAAAAAATAATAAAGATAATAAAGATGTATAAAGATATTATTTATAGATTTATAAATAATAAAGATGTACTATATAAGAGGCAGTACCAAAAATAGTGCTTTAATTCGAAATATCTCCAGAATCAACTGAATATATAGGGAAGTTTGTATTATGTTCTTTTAAAAAGAACTATATGATCAAAAGCCCAAACAAAAGGGATTAAAATCTTGAACCACCCGACTTTAGGTTGAGGATCTGTTGAGCACTGGAGCCCTGACAACATCTTACAAGAATCCCCAACTCGGCTTGAAGATTATTCCATCCTGGGGACTGTTTAAAGCTTTAATTTTTGGGGTTTCGACTATTGAATAAATGCAAAATTTATAATTGGGTGGTTTCCGCATATACAGGGCTTTCGTAAGTGGGTGTGTGTGTGTGTGTGTGTGTGAGAGCACATAATGCCACACACACTCACACTCACGGCGTACGCACTTGACGCATACGCACATTTAATGCAAATTTAAGCAGTTAGCAAGCAAGTAAAGCCGTTATGTGTACACAGGGATATGAAACTGCACTTGTATATGTATACATACATACATATATGAATGCATTTGTGCGTTTGTAAATGCATCGATGGCTATACATAATGCAGGCAATATAAATAATTGCAGTACATAGGGCGCTGCGTTTGAGAGTGTGTGTGTGTGTGTTGGTTGCATAACCGCATATGCTATATACGCATTTATCTGGCCATATATGCTAGCATAGCATATATCGGCATCTGCATCTCTGGCTGGCTGCACATTTCATTGCAATTGCATTAGTGCAGGCCCTTTGTTCATTACAAAATGCAGACACACACACACATACACACAGAGGGCACAGGAGTTCGTGTATCTGTGTGAATAAAATAAATATCCCACAAAACATTTACGCAGTTTGTTGAGTAAGATAAACAGGCAACTCCCCAGTTCGATCAATAAAAGTGCTGGCATTTGTTGGATTTTTTTTTTATACATATTTAATTTATTTTCTTTTCCTTTCGCGTCGCCATCTAATCGTCCTTTTTTTCAATTTAATCGAGGGCTTCTTTTCTATATAGGCTCCTAAAAACAGAAATATCAATCGATCGAAAACTTAGGTCTAGGGAAAAATGGAAACTCAGTGGTTCTCAGGATCAACATAGTTAATAATATAGTTTGCAAAATAATTAAGGCATTCGGTATATTGCAGTTCAACAAAAGTTCATCGAATCGGGCTCATTTAACTAATCCAAAACAGAGAAAATTGGTAAAAAACCTGACTTAACATTGTACATATTTTTCATTAATTTTAATTTAATTTATTCTTAGTTTTTTTCTTTCATTTTTTTTGTATGGTTGCTTGAAGTTTTCTCATCGCTTCTTAAATAAAATTACGTAATTGTTTTTTAGCATTAGTTTTTGTTTGTTTATGTGGTTTTTTTTTTATACAATACATTTTATATCACAATAGAAAAAAGAATTAATTCGCATATTCTTTTCAATCGTTATCGTCTCTTATTTTTTCTCATTTCCGTTTTTTTTTCTTACTTATAAATTAAACAATAAAAAATGTACAGAATTTTCTTTAACGTTTTGTGTCAGTGTATGTGTGTGTGTGAGTGTATGTATTTAGGTGAGTTTTTCTATTAAACAAGGTTGTTTTTTTTTAATAACTTGTGTTATTTTTAGTATCTCTCTTCGCTTATTTTTTTTGTTGTTATTTGACTAATTGTGGCTTGACAAATTTTTTAAAACTAAGAATTAAGTTTACGCATCTTCGCATTAAGTGTCTACTATTAACATTGTTTTTTGCTTAAATTTTCGTTACTTTTTGTTTACGGTTTTTAATCAACTAAATTAAACGGCATAACTAACGACGCTGTACTAAACAAATTCGCAACGAGACGAGCAAAAAAAAACAACAAAACAAAAAAAAATAATAATGTTGATGGAATCAAGAAGGAGAAACATAAAAACAAAAAGATACTAACAAAAAAAGGGAGCACACAAAGCAAGAAAAATGCGGCTGAGAGAGCCCCAGCAAAAGCGGTGGAGAGTCAAGTCGCAGAACAGTCTCCAAAAGAGCTTTAATTCCGCGCCTCTACTCCCCGCCACTGTGTTGTTTTTGTTGTTTGTGTTGCTTTTGTTTTTGTTGCTGTGGCAATGGAGGACGCTGGCTTTTGTTGCCGAAGCGTGAATTAAAATAAACTATTTAAATTTATTTGCATCTGCTTAACTGCGGCCTGCATTGCACACAAACACACACACGCATTCTCTCTTTCATACGTATGTGTGTGTGTGTGTGTGTGTATAAATGGCTGCCCACCTCCCCGCCATTACTCCCCCTTGCTTATCGCGCGTCTCCATCGCCATGCACTTTGTTGCTGTCGGCCATAGCTGCAGTTGTTGTTGCTGCCGTTTCGGCCGCTAGCTGTTTCTTTTTTCTCTTTTTTTTTTTATCGCTGCGTGCGTGTAAGCCGACGGCATCGGCTGGCTTCTCCCCTCGCTCTTGGCCTATACTTTACCCCCTAGGAACCTGCGGCACACACACACACACGCATACAGCCTTACACAAACGCAGCGAAGCCAGCTCCAAAAACAGTGCTGCCCGGATGAAAAGATACTTTTGGAAAACTAAACTAAAGATACTTTACAGTATCTATAGGTAATTTTTGTTGCTAATTATTAGGGAATAGATTTTTAAATTTTATAAAACATTATTTAAAATTGAAAATCGAGAATATTTTACGCAGAATTGTTTACTTTTTAAAAAAGAAAATATATTATATTTTTGATATAAAAAAAAAGCTAAGCCTGCAACACTGTTCATGACGCCGTCTATCTCTGTCCCCCCATTCCCCAACGCTGCCAGTGTATGTGTGTGTGTGTGTTTCATTGTTTGCTTTTTGTTGTTGGTGCGTTGTTTTCTGCTTTTCTGCCCGTTTCTACTCGATTCGTACGAAAAAAAATTTAGTACAGCGCGTGGTATGGCAAACGAAAGCTATGAGTTTTCAGTGTATCTTGTCTGCCCGACTTCGCTCCTTCCTCCCTACTCCCCCTCCCTTCCCCCCTGAATCTAAGTTTGGGAATTGCAAGTGCTGCGCGCAGCCTCCTCAGCGGCACATGCGTTGCAGTCGTGGTGGACGCATCATCTCACCAGCCAAAGGCCCAGGTTGAGCTTCTGCAGCTTGGGCAGCTTCATGATGATGTCGATGCCCTTGGAGCTCAGCTGCGTGCAGCCGTAGAGATCGATGGTCTTTAGGTTGGTGAGGTCCTCCGCCAGTGTCTGCAGTCCCTTGTCCGTGATCCTGCTGCACTGGCCGATGTTCAAGTTCTCCAGCTCGTGCAGCGCCTTGGCGATCTTCAGCATTCCGTGATCGGTGATCTGGCACTGATTCAGCGACAGGGATCTCAGCCGATACAGACCTTGGGCTATGTGGGTGAGGGCTTGGTCGCTGATCTTGTCGCAGAAGCTCACGTCGAGGGAGTTGATGCCGCTGCCGCCCTCCGTGAGGTAGGCCATCCCGATGTCCGAGATGTTGTCGCAGGAGCGCAGATTCAGTTGCTCCAGCTTGGGCATGCGCGCCAGGTGCTTCAGGCCACTGTCCGTCACCGAGACGCAAAAGCTCAGGTTGATGGACTTTAGCGATGTCAGGCCCTGGGCAATGTGTCCTAGCGCCTCGTCGCTCAATCTCTGGCAGTCCTGGAGACCCAAGTACTCCAGCTGCAGGTTGCCCTCCGCCGTCTCCCTGCTGAAGCCCGCCAGGTGGCCAATGCCCTGGTCGCTTATGTGCCAGCAGGATCGCAGGTTGAGGTGCTTCAGCTTCTTCAGGCCCCACGCGATGAGCAGTAATCCTGTGTTGGTGATGTTGCAGCAACCTCCCAGCTCCAGGGTTTCCAGATTCCTCAAGTGCTGGGCGATCCTGCCCAGACTCGTGTCGGTAATCTGTTTGCAGAGCGAGAGGTCCAGTGTCTTCAAGTTGGGCAGATCCACGCTGAAGGCGTGTCCCAGGTTCATGTCGGCCACGTTGAAGCAGCCGCTCAGGTTAAGCGAGGTGAGAGCCGGGACGCCCAGAACCAGGTCCTTGAGGGAGCGACGCAGGGATAGGATTTGGACCTTCTTGATGCCCCGCTTGACCAGACAGTTGAAGAGACTCGGGCTGGAGCGTTTCAGGTGCAGCTTGGCCTCCACGCCCTTCCAAACGCTCTTGGCGTACGCCGCATCCCGCCAGGCGGTGCACACTTGGGCAGCCCTGCCCAGATCCCGCACCGGCAGGTGCTCAAAGATCTGCTCGAGGAGTTCCGGGAACAGGTTACTGATGTGTGTGCCCTCCGCGGGCGGTGGACTCTCCGGCGAAGCTGGTCTGTGCGGGTGGAGATGATGGTGGTGGTGGTGATGGTGCTGGGCATGGGCTGCCGCTGCTGCCGCCGCCGCCGCAGCTGCTGCCGCGTGCTGCAGGTAGAGCGCCGGAGGCAGGGCGGGCAGCTGATGGTGGGGCGGGCGGTGGTGCAGGGCGTAGGGCGTGAAGCGCAGCAGGTGGTGGTGCGTGGTGCCGGTGGCTCCAGTCCGTGTCAGCCCGGGCAGCTCAGTCTGTTGATACAGTTCGTCCATGGCCCAGCTGGGCGCTCCAGCTCCGGCGCCGCCGTTCATTGCCGATCCACTGGTAGCGGCTCCATTGCCCCCTGCCCCGGATCCGCCGCAGTGATTATTCAGATTGTTGAGAACAGCGATCGTTGTCTGGTGATGGAAGGGCAGCAGTTCCGTGTTAGTTGCCATATCCTACTCCGCAATGGCCTCTAGCTTGTTTCACTCGTTTCTTTTTGAATTTTTGTGATTTTGTTGAAATGTGTAGATTCCTCTCTTACGTACGACGCATTTTACAGTTTTTATATCGTGATTAAAGACTAGTAGTGTTCACTGTGCTTCACTCGCGCTAGTACTTGGTTGGGTAGTCAGTTGATTGCAAACAACTTATAGGTCCCACTGAGGTCTCTTTATGCGAAAGAGAACTTGCGCGCACAACCGAACCGGACGATGATATTTTTGAAACTCAAAGATACTCGGGCAAGTAGCGTTGCTTATAGCCAGATACTGAGAGCAAGGACCCGGAGAGGCAGAGAGCGCCCGAGTGTGTGTGTGTGAGAGGGCGGATTATCTGTGCGAGCGGGACGGGGCATTCAGCAATATGGCTGCCTGTGTTCTAGAGCAGGTAGCCATATACGCTTTCTCTCACACAACAAAAGTTGGCTCTCTCTTGACTGCTGAGTCAACGGCGGTTTACAGCCAGTTTGGCTAGTGTTTGATGTTATATTTTGATTTTAAATTTATTAAAATATTTTATTACAAACTAAATTATAAGATAACAAAACGTTTGATATTAGAAAAAGTTTTATAAAGTATCTAAAATCTATAAGCTACATCAAAAGAGTGAAAATATATTTAAATTTGAGATATAACTCTAGTAAATACTTTGAATTAATTACTTCTGGAATAGAATGGAAGAGAAGAGCATATAGGGACGGTAAAATTTTTAGGAAAAGTCATATTTAAAATTCTAATAAAATATTATAAAAAAAACTATATATTATATGGCTTGTTACAACTTTCGCATCACTGTTTGCGAGAGGAATTTCCTCACTGAACTGACTGTTAGACTAAGGGAGAACCCATAGTATGAGGGAGAGCCAAAGTCACTAACGCTGAGTGCTAGACCTGGATTGGATTCATCTTGGTTTTTGGTTTTGGGCCCCAGCTCCACGTTTCAGGTTATTCCTCGCTCACCAAAACCAATCTCAATGCCAAACTCCGACGCATTTGTTGTTGTTGGTTAAGTCGCTGCATTCCGAAGTCGAGCAGGTACCTGTCTTCTCTCTCTATCTGCACTGGCATCTGTGTGTGTGTGTGTGTGTGCGATCGTTTCTCGCTACCTGCCAGCAGCAACAACAAAACATCCAACACAATCCCGGTTTCCAGGAAAATATTAACGATAACTCCAAAAAAACCTCTGCCGCCGCACACACAGATACAGATTGTGATGCACAAATCCGACGGATGGCCAACAATAGCGGACTTGCATTGTTATTGATACTAGGAATGCAATGCTCAGAGCCACACACACACCAACATATGCTCACAGAGGGCCCCCTAAAAAAAGAAAACGCCGCCGTCTTCTTTGCTTTATAAAAAAAATATAAAGAAAAGGGACCAGGATCGGAAAATTCGGAAAAGGGACTATTGGGCTGGGAAAATCTGTGCCGCTACCTGACCCCGAAGGCTCACACCCGCACCCTCCATATAGTATACGAATATCAGAATCTTCAACTGTGCACTGCTAGAAAAATATCCTTAGTTTTTTTTATATAAAATTATGGAAAATGTTTTTCGAAGTCTTTACAAAGAAAACATATTAATAACCTTTAAATGTATGAAAAAATAAGCTTGAAAAAGATATAGGCGTTCTTTACAAAATCTCTTATTAAATCTATATCTTGATCTTACGACCAATCTCCAGAAATCGAATGACTTATAAACTAAAAATAGTAAAAAACCGAACATTTTCTTCAGTGCAAGGAACAGTGCCTATGTTGATTTCTTGGGCCTCCTGCCGAGGACCCTCGTAGTCGTACAGTCATTATCCTGGCGGGCATAGAAGGGCAAGGCGTGCGTCCCTCCGGCCCTCTCCTGTTCAACTCCTCCCTCCCTATTCCACCCTGGCCTTTTCAGACCCTTCTTTCCTTTGCCCTTTGTTGCTGTTGCTGCTGCTGCTTCTTCTACCTGTCAAACCGGTTTGGCCAAAAAGGGCCAATCTCTCCCTCTCCCTCTATCAGTCTTTGGTCTTGGACGTGTCAAGGCGGCCAACGAAAAATAAAAATAATCTCTTCGTTGGAACTCTGGCTCGCACAATCCTCCAGCTAGCCAGCCATCCAGCCAGCCTCTGTATCTGAAATATAGTGCGGCACATATAATAATCGATTGGTTTTCGGCTGCCTCTCCCTCGTCATCTTGCCATCTTCTTACGTTTTTGCGTTTTGCGTACTATGATCACGATCATTAAAGCTGCCGCTGGGTAGCAACACAGGTAGAAACAGCGGAAAAGGTGCAACACGCAGACGCAATGCAAACAGGGCCAAATGCAATGCTGTGGGCAGAAAACGCGAAGGCAGTCAAGGAAAAGGCCCACGCGGTTTTTTTTGGGCCAACCCAGTGGATTCAATCTGCATAGCTACTTGTCTTATATTCAGGCAGAAGATACAAGATACTGAGATGCATAAAATCTATCTTCGAATGGGAACATCTGCCAACGAAAGTCAAAGTTTATTATGAAGTTGACTTGAATTTACTGTACTTTTGGGTGACCTTTCTCCAAGCCCCATCGATGAAAAGGATTAAGATCATTGCATGTCACCACTCGAACGCATCCAGATATCAGTTTCATCAAGTTCCAGCCAGTGTGGAATAATTTGTGCTTTGGGAGGGATGATAAACCATTCAAAAGGCGCCGCCATCAAGTACAATTGATGGTATCGCCATCTCTGACCAATTTGTGGTCTGCCCGCATCTCTCACCCAGCTGACATCGCTCCTCGGTGTTCGGTTCGGACCTCTTGCCGGTAGAAAGGGTGTAGGCCAGTCGATGGGAGCCTGATTTGGGTTGTTGGACACCGCCGGCATCATGGAAACGGCGTCAAGCTGTGACAGATTTGTTACAGAACATCACATAATTTGCCTCCGATGGCAATCTGATCACCCACTGAACATATCTGATTTGTGATGCCCTCATTCAAATAAAAAAAAACACGAAATTGAATAAAAAGAATTAGAGCAACCGTGGCTTCAACATTCTATCGACTAGACAATCAATTAGAAGCTATACTTTTCATGTATCTATGAATCTTCTGAAGACAATATTCCATGGATACTTTTTAAGCCAAACTCCTAAGATTCAAGTTCGGATAACTAGACAGTCTTTTGATGTTTCCATTTCGTGGAAACTTGTCAAAAATTCTAGATCCCTGGGCGTGTTTTGCAGCTTAGAGTAGAATTTTAGGAAAAAGGACTCATAAGAGCTGGAAGTGTCCCATAAGGAATTAGCACTTGTCCAACTCTCGGAAAGACTTCCCCTCTCACATGGGCACCAGACCAGGCTTGGGAAACTCTGTAAACTGAGAAGGGATTGAGAGGTCATGGAATCATCTCAAGTGCCAAGTTCCGCTGCACTTCAAGAGGGTCCTGAGACAAGTAAGCAAATATCCGCAAAGTGGCGAAGACTATCTTGCAGATAGGGATTTGAAGTATTACCCCGAAAAATCTAAGATGTAAGAGCAACCAATAAATCATTTGTGTCGAGAGCCAATTATTTCTGAAAAATGTAAAAAAAACCTTTTCCAGGAAAACTGGAAGACCTTTCAAGAGAAAGAGAAAACTATTATGGAAATGTTAGGGATGTACTTACTAAGTTATATCAAATTATAGATTAGATTCGGTTTATGTTTTTCTAATTTTCCAACCCGATTCCATTCACGATCGGAGTTTTTGTTAAAAAGTATTTGAACCCTCTCAATGGCTTCAAGCCTCTAGATATTTTCGTTTCCATTTAATTATATATTCGTTTTGCATTTCTAATGTGCTACGTGACCAATGTTTAAATCAATTTATATCCAAAAAATATTGGTGGGTGTGTGCCGTTGGCAAAGAAAATAAAATAAACATTAAAGTTCCTAGATCCATAAATATTCACATTTGATATACAATGGTTATGCAGTAAGTAGTAGTTAATTGTTAAACATTTTAAAACATACTATAAACATAATATTTTAAAACATAATATTATTTTTTTAAACATACTATCTTCGTGGTTAAAATAACTTATAAATTCTTAGACACAATTTTTTTAAAGTGATTTTGATAATTTATATTTAGTTGATAATAAGGTTCATTAGAAAATAAAGAATAAATCTAGAAAAAAATCTTGGACATGTTTTTTAGATTTTTATTTTATTTCTTAAAATAACATAATACACGTCTGGTATGGTTATACATTGTTTTGAATATCGCGCCTTTAAACCACCACCGGTATTTGGGCTGTGTTTAGTATCCACCGATAGTTTTATATCTATCGATACATTTGTATCTGGTTGGTTGAAATAAGATACAACCGCAGAGCCATACTTTTGCAAGACTTCACAAAGAAAATAAATCAAAATGCAAAAGGATATATTTCAAATTCAGGCAATACAAATCTTAATTCTGAAAAAAAACAGCAAGCTCGGCGACTTGGAAGCATATTCAGCATTCGCCTGATACCAAATACAGATAAAGTATCTTTGTTATTTGCACAGAGTTTTGCTATTAAAGTTCGCATCTCTTTTTAGATAAACATGATTCATGTAAAGCTCATCCTATAGAAGACACTGAATATTCCAAATATTGTATAATTTATTTCGTAAAAAGACGAGCGGACGTATTACATTTAAAGTACAAACACGTTTACAAAACTACAACTAACAATTTTTTGGTTTCGGTTACAATCAGAACTTATCACAAGTCAACTGGTATTGCCAGTTCCTAACAGCCACACTCGGCTCGAATTTGCCGCCGAGAGGGTCCAGGAGTTCCTCAACAGTTCCAGGCTGACCTCCGGCTCCAGATCTGGTGCCGCCTCCGTTCCTAATGACTGCGCCTCCTCCTCCAGCTCCTGTTCTGGCTTCCGGGCCACCGGATCCGATTCCTGCTCCAGCTCCAGCTCCTCCAGAAGCGTGGGTAGCCGTGAAATCGTACGGCTGTAGTTGGCGGGGCCTTCGGGCACGCTGATTATTAAGGACCTGTTCCCGCCGCTCGAGATTACTGACTCTATCTGTGTCTCCTCCTCCGCCATCCCGTTCCCGTTTCGTTGCACGACCACCTTTGCGCCAGGACTCGACATTGGCAATGCCCGCGGTCGACGGCCCCGCGTTCTCAGTCCGGCCCCCAAAGATGGTCGTCCAACGAAACCACTTATGTCATAAGCTATAGCAATCCGACGCCGAGGATTCACTGCGTCTTCGCATCGGATCCGGATCTCGGCGAAGTAGATAGACGCAAAGACACAAGCACACCAGGAGGAGACAAACAAGCCCCAGCATGGCATAGAATCCTTGACGGTAACGAGCTGCATCGGCACTCGCCTCAAGAAGTCTCACCCGCTGGCCCAGGGCACCTCCTCCACGGAGTTCCTCCTCCCTCTCCAACGGGAGCAACACCTGCCAGAAGCCATAGACTTTCTGCAAGTGATTGGAGTAACCGGAGTCCTGCTGGTTGGTGGCTATATAGGAATTGGATTGGGTTGCCCGGTACGTGTCATGGCGATTACTTCGGGATAAGCTGCGATCCAGTCCGGTACCTCCTGAATCTCCGCGAAGGAGCTTCTCGACTTCGGCCTCATCTACAGATCCTGCTTGGGCGGACTTGGCAGGCTGCTCGCCTAGACTGTATACGAAGGGAATATCCTTTTTGTAGGGCAACCAGCCATCGTAGATCCTGCCGGGCGTGGGGTTGCCGCTCTTGATAAAGTTCGCAAAGGCTCCTCTCAGTTTCCGGCACAGCTGCTCCTCCTCGCCGCTGAACCTTCGGCGAGCTATTTGCTGGAATAAGCTAGGACCCAGGAGCAGTGGAAGATCGGAGCTGTGGGAAGCCCCACCAAATAGATTTCTCCTGCCCCTCATGTCCATCGAGTGGGATTGGTCGAATACGTAGGCATAGCTGGTGGTTCCATTCAGGAAGTCCAGCAAACGGAAGAAGGGCAGTTCGTAGAGCGACTCCGAGATCAGTCGCTGCATTCCACTCAGCAAATGGATGACGCCCTCGCCTTTTCCATTGAAGTACCTCCATCGAATGGCAGCCTGTTGGGAGGAGCTCTCCTCTCCCACAGATTCCAGTACTCTCATAACATTCGGTAGTAATGTGTGGTTGACGTACTCTTGCAGAGCCACCTGACCCTCCCGGGCAACATCTAGCCAGTAGTCCTGCAGAAAGGCTCCCTCGTTGGAGGTGATGCCAAGCAGCATCGATGGCAGTGTTTCGTTTCGCAGACGCTGCTCCAGAGTAAGGCCACCTGGAACTATCACTCCCAGCTGGTGACTTCCATTGCCGTGGTTGTAGACACTTTCATAGGCGCGGAGCAGATCCTCGCGACTCTTCCTCCTCAGGCAGCCAATCAACTGGCGGCGCTGGGCCTCCTCGAACTGACACCCCAGTTTTTGGACTAAAACCTGTCCAGTTTCCATAATCCGTTTATCGTGGTTCTCACCCAGGGCTCGTAGTATGGGACCAGGTGACATGAGGACTAGTTGCCTCACTAATCCCGGCTCCTCTAAGGTCGTTACTAGTGCCAAGGGAGCTCCAGCACTTCCGTGTCCCAGAAGTGTCATCTGATCCGGGTTGCCGCCAAAGGCATTGGCATTCCTCTGAACCCATCTCAATGCCATCTGAACATCACTCAAGCCATAGTTGCCAGTTAGATGACGATGCTGCTCGCCCAATCCCAGCCAGCCATAGATGTTGTTCCGGTACTGGACACTGACCACCATGATGCCTTCACCGGCCAAATCCAAGCCGCTGATGCGGTTCACGGGCCAGTCGAAGGCGAACTCCTCGCCAGTCACAATGACCACAATGGGCAGCTTTCCATACCGCAAGCCCGACTCTGGGGTCCAAATATTTAGGTACAGGCAGTCCTCGTCTGTTTTCACCGACCTTGGTATCCTGCCATCAGGACTCTCGTTGTAAATAGTATTTGAAAGTTGTGGGCAAATGGGTTGCATTGTGGTGGCCTGAAGAGTCCTATTCCAACTAGAACTTGGCTTGGCGGGCTGTAAAGTAAGTATCAAAGGTCAAGTGGTACTCTAAACTATTATCCTTTAAGGACTTACCGCAAACCTAAGCTCATCGAGAGGAGCCTGAGCATATGGAATGCCCAGGAAGGCATACACAGCGCCACGTGTTCCATCCGGAAAAATCTTGAGCTAAAAATATATGAATACTTTAATATTTTATAAAATCTAAGTAATCACAAAAACATACACCAATTAAATCTCCCTGCTCCAGTTTGATGTGCGTCTGCTGGCCGAAACACGAGGAGAATATGTGCAACAGGATTAGCAGGAGCCACAACCGATGAATCCTTAAAGCTTTCCACATAATTGCGAATTGCAACAGTCACTTTTTTTAGCTCTCACTTTTAGCACATAGTTTTTGCATAGTTTATGGCGCATTTAAGCGCATGTATTAATTATTACTCGCCACTATGTGTCGTTTATTTTTTGGGAATAAATATTTTCGTGAAAATATTTGCTGACCCTCCCGGAACTTTTTGTTTCGTTGAAGCTAAAATGGAAACTGAGCGACACAAAAAAAATGGGCAGTTGCCTGCCCTGGTGCGGTGAGCTAACAAAAATTTCTGCTAGAATTATTTCAATTGTTTTCTGGTGTCATTACGGCTGCTGTTGCTGTTGTTTCTGCTGTTTCTGTTTGTGGCTGTGGTGCGCAGCGAATCATTCATGCATCCATAGATCAAAATGCCAGCGACACCACCACAACCAGCAACAACGACACCAGCAACTGGGTGTGGAAAGCGGGAAAGTTGGGGAGTTGGGGGATGGGGGATGGGGGAGTTCGAATAGCTATGGTAACGGACCTCCCCTCTGTGTAGATCTGTAGACCCTAAAGACCAAACAGTAACGCCCTCGAATGGAATTGTAAAGTTACTCCGAGGGTGGCACAAAAAATGTTAAAACAGAAGCTTTCACACATTTTCACAATAAAACCCTCCAATCATTCTTCAGCTTTTTAATTAATTTAATCAAGATCAGCTTGTGTCTCATCGTTTCCAGAGAAATTGGCTAAGCTTTTATGAATCAAGCTAGGCTTTAGTCTTTAAATAGTTTTCATATAGTGTTTCCTTCATTTTAATTTTAAAAGATATACTTTTCATTTTTTATTAGGAGCTAATATTATTTGAAAACTCATTAGACCACCCTCGTTTTTTATAATTCATTGAATTCCTCACTGTTGTTAATATCAAACGTAATTTTTTCAGTTCTTTCAGTTCACAACTCTTTTTCCCTTTTTCCCTAGTGTGGAAAATAAAGTTATCGCTGGGTTTTCTGGGGCCTGTAACAGATAATGCTCTAAATAATATGACTGTAATTCTCTCACTTGTCCAATATGGAACTGCTGGTGGTGGATAGGTGGATGAATGGATGGCTGGACTTGGTTAGTTGTGTTTTCGAGTCTGTTCGACGGTGCGGAGTTCCGGTTTGCAGAGTTTAGCGAGCGATCTCTGGATGGCGACTGCCGGAATGCCCAATGCCCGCAATTAACGTGAATGTGGTCACAGTGAGATTCTGCTTTGCCAGCATCATGTCCCCACATTTATGTATTTTAATTAGTTTAAAATGTAATTTGTTTGTTGACCTGCGCGGATTACGAGCACAAAATCGCCTTCGCAGGCAGCCAATTTGCCATCATAGTTGTGCACTCAAAAAAAGATAGTAAGCTTATTATATATTTATTATTATATTTATTATATTTATTTAATGTCTATTGAAACTATAAAGAAAGATTTGAATAAATTTCTTACTTCAATAAATGTCCTCATATCCTTAGTAACAAATAAATATTTATATTTTTCTATCTGCATTATTTGTGAACATTACCTGTGTTGCCATAGAGTTGAATACAATTTTCCGTCAATTATGAAGGTCCCTTTGCACATTTAAATAGTCTCTCCATTGGGGTCCATTCTGTTGTCCTTGCCGTTCATTCCATGCCAGGATGTGCGGGAGATCGCAGCCATCCATGCATTTGCCTTTCCGCCTAGACCATGGAAACTTAATCAATTTATGCCTGTAAACGTGGCCAATTCGCTTTTGGGCCGTGTGCGGGTCGCTGTTCAATTATAATAAATGGCAATGACGGCCTAGTTTGGCCAACGGACACAGGGCTGTAAACAAATTAGCGTGGCCAAGTGCTGTAAAAATCGCGGCTAGAGTTGATGGGTAAAATGACGGTAGGCCGGCGAAAATTATATTCATATTCGGGATGATACGGGAACAAAGATAAATTATAGCTTGAATATTGGCTGCCATAGGCCATGACCTGTCTATGTGTTTATTAACTTCTGATACATGTCATTTAAATACCCAAAAATGTAGAAAATCCATAAAATTCCTTACATGCCTACAAATCAAATTACAGATTCAATATGTCGAAATACCTTTTCAAAATATTTGGGCCAAGAGGGCCTTCTCCTTGCGTCCGAAACTGTCCGAACAAGCTGCTGTTGACCAAAGGCATATTGTTGTGACATTTAAATGTTGGTAATACTTTCTGCCATCTACCAATAAATTCATCATAAAATCGCTTGACACAAAACTTGCAGTCAACACTTGTAACCGAGGAGGACCTTAAACAGAAACACAAATTGTACAAAAATGTCTACAAATATTTGCAGAGCGCATATTGGAAAATTTTTGGCAGCTGCACTTGAAACAAAAGGAATAGCAACAACAAGGACACTCTCGAGCCAGGACCCGTCGAGTGCATCAAGAAAGTTTTTGGCCTGTAGTTTTTGTTGCATTTTTGTAATGAAAATATTTATGATTTTTGGAGCCGAGTTGATTGTTTACATATTGCCAAAGCATATTGAAAACTTCTTTATTAAATTTTACTTCAATAAAAGCCAATTGTTTCTTGTTTGGCATCGTGTTGTTATTATTTTTTTTTTGATTACTTTTTCATATATATACGAGTACAAGTACACCACCCATACATATAGAATGCCTGGAAAAGTTTTTAGTTTTGTGCCAGACCAAACAGCCCAGATTTTTCATGGCTCAATAATGGAGGTACACAGGAGAAATAAAAACACACCTCCAAAAAGGATATTGATTTGATTGATTATGATTTTTATATAGATAAAATAAGATAAATGAATTTATAATTTTTTAAAAGTATAAAGTTTTTCCATAAATCTTTTAAATATCTTTTAGAAATCTTTAAAAGTATAATTTTTATTTCTCAATGTAGAACCTGAGCCATGGCTTCTGTTGCAGCTCCTGCTGCTACGATTTGAGGAGGTTGACTGCCTCACCAATTCATATTGTGTTTCATATTTTTGCCAAACAATGGCAACAGAATATCTGCAATATTTTTAGCATGTTAGCATAGATAGAATTGCGCATAACAAATCGTTTAGTTAACGAGTCGTAAACACTTGTGATAGATTTTGACCAGACCAGGCCTTGGAGCCATGTGCTTTTGCATAAATTCGTTAGTTGGGCAAATTCCCATTAGGCTGTAAACATTCAAGCCTTTTGTCTCAAATTAAATAAAATTAATTATTATTGCAGTTAGTACACAAATCATAAATAATAAATCATTTTTGTGCATTCGATCAATGAGAAATGAAAGTATTTGCGTTTACACTTTAAAAACAGGGACAATTAACGAAGTGCATCCTGTTTCTAACCACAATAACAATGGCGACGGCCATTTTAATTACGTAATTAGCAGAAAAAACAAACAACGAGGGGCGCGCAAGCAATTTTCGTAAAGTATTTAGCAAAACAATGCATTAAAGTGGCTGCTGCACTGCCTTTCGCGGCCCTGTTGTTGCTTTAAGCCTAATTTAACGGTTCCGCAGACAAACAACGGGCATGGCATGGCGAATGGAGGCAGCCATTTTGTTTATACCGCTAAACACACACACACACACGCACACAAGTTGGCAGCACTTAACGGACTTTCGAGCGGACTAGAAGGCTGAGGGAATTGCAGAGGCGTGCCACCAAACATGGCATGTGGCCCACTTTCTAATTAATGCAAAATATTGTTGCTGCAAAAAACTAACTAGCATATGTGCTGCCTACTTTTAGGTTGTTTGCTGGCTTGTTCCATGTTAGGATGCTGGTTTTTTCGGGGGCGTTATAGGGGCGTGGACTGGCGGTTTCTTTGTGCTGCAGCCAACAAAGAATTGCACTCATCCACCATACATATATTTAAAAGTGTGTAATACAGCAACTGCGACATCAGCAGCATGCAACAACAACCTTGGCAATGTCAACAGCCGGCAGTGTGGCGGAAACGAGTGACCGCCGCCAGGGGTCGCCAGGGTTCCAGAGTGTTATATTAAATTCTTTAAATAAACAAGAAAGGACCCTTGCAGTTAAGGCACAATTATCGGATATATTTTTATATATGGGTAGTAAGTTGGTCAGTCCTAGCTCCTACAAATAAAAGACATTTTCCTCAAAATAAAATTTCTATAGTCAAAATGGTAGATCGGTATAAGATCATAGAGAGAAAGAGATGCCGAGAAATTGTAAGGGTTTCCAAAGAAATCCCAAGGAAATCCCCCAAGAAAAAAATTAAAAAAAGAATTATATATATATTGGAAAAATAAAATTTCTATAGTCAAAATGGTAGATCTAAGATTTTCTGGGCTGTCCCCTTCAAAATGTGCAAAATGCATGGGGAGCCCCATATGACCCACTGCGAAGGCCATATCTTAGGAAATATTCATCCGATTCTTGAACGGAATACTTTAAACGATTCGTGGATCGATTCTCCATAAATCTGCATCAAAATCTGGGAACAAAATATTTTTAAGATTTTTTGTCAAATTTTCTGGGCTGTCCCCTTCAAAATGTGCAAAATGCATGGGGAGCCCCATATAACCCACTGCGAAGGCCATATCTTAGGAAATATTCATCCGATTCTTGAACGGAATACCTTAAACGATTTGTGGATCGATTCTCCACAAATCTGCATCAAAATCTGGGAACAAAATATTTTTCAGATTTTTTTGTCAAATTTTCTGGGCTGTCCCCTTCAAAATGTGCAAAATGCATGGGGAGCCCCATATAACCCACTGCGAAGGCCATATCTTAGGAAATATTTATCCGATTCTTGAACGGAATACCTTAAACGATTTGTGGATCGATTCTCCATAAATCTGCATCAAAATCTGGGAACAAAATATTTTTAAGATTTTTTGTCAAATTTTCTGGGCTGTCCCCTTCAAAATGTGCAAAATGCATGGGGAGCCCCATATAACCCACTGCGAAGGCCATATCTTAGGAAATATTCATCCGATTCTTGAGCGGAATACTTTAAACGATTCGTGCATCGATTCTCCATAAATCTGCATCAAAATCTGGGAACAAAATATTTTTAAGATTTTTTGTCAAATTTTCTGGGCTGTCCCCTTCAAAATGTGCAAAATGCATGGGGAGCCCCATATAACCCACTGCGAAGGCCATATCTTAGGAAATATTTATCCGATTCTTGAACGGAATACCTTAAACGATTTGTGGATCGATTCTCCATAAATCTGCATCAAAATCTGGGAACAAAATATTTTTAAGATTTTTTGTCAAATTTTCTGAGCTGTCCCCTTCAAAATATGCAAAATGCATGGGGAGCCCCATATAATCCACTGCGAAGGCCATATCTTAGGAAATATTTATCCGATTCTTGAACGGAATACCTTAAACGAT